GCGGCCCCCCCCCCCCCCCCACCAGGAGAGATTGCCTTTGATTCGGTGCTTAGCGCCTGGTACTGGATCTTCTGCCGGCTCATTGCCATGAAAGACACTGGGGCCGGTCTTCCAGAAAGGGCTTAGGGTTTAGAGATCAGATTTTTTGAGCCTTTCCGGGTCTAAAATGCAGGCCTCTCGGGTTTCCTCCCGAAATCGGTAGAATGTGGTTGGGCTTTAGGGCAGGGCAGTAACCCACTACCTGAAGCATGATGCGAGCATCCCAGGACACTCCGTACCACAAAGGCAAGGTGACGACGGATGGTGGAATTGCCATCCTTGCCATCACACTCACCCTCAAGGGCGTGTTGTGGATAGTTCCCATCGCTCGCATCAAGCAGATCTTCGAGTCGGAGTACAGCGCTGTCGTTAAAGGGAGCAACTTGGAGAAGAAGGCGAGATCCCGTAAAAGCGGGGCATGCTAAACCCCAGGCCCCAAACCCTAAACCCCGAAAACCCGAAACCCAAACCTGAACCCTAAACCCCAAACCCTATACCCTGGACCCTAAACCCTAATCACGAGGTGAGCCCTTTCAGGAAACCCCAAAGCTCCCACTACCCGGGTCCGAAAGTCCCAAATCGCGAGCACGGAACTCCCCTGAACCCCAAGATCGTCTCTTCTATTTTGGTATACTATGTCATACGATATGGTGTCACATTATGTTGTGTAATATTCTGCTACCACAGTATACTGTACCGTGCTGTATCGGGCTGCATTATACTGTACTATACTCTACTGTATTGTACTCTACTGCACTGTTACTGTGCTGTACTAAACTGTACATTTCTATACTGCACACTACATGTTGGGTTTTCTTGTGTTATGCTATGCTATGCGATGTTATGATACGTTAAACGCAACCCTAAACAATAATCCGACCCTAAACCCCTAAACCCCTAAACCCTAAGCCCTGAACCCCAAACCCTAAACCCCTAAACCCCAACCACTAAACCCTAAACCCTAAACTCCGCTGTTCAGGTGGTGAGCGATCTTCTGAGTCAGATCAGCGACTCCGACAAGGACCATTTGGTGTCTGCCGCGCACGGGAGTACCAACGCTCGGCTGGAGGTCTGGCGGTTTAGGGTTCAGGGTTTGGGGTTCAGGGTTTAGGGTATGGGGTTTAGGGTTTAGGGTTTTGTATTTGGGGTTAGGGTTTAGTGTTCGGGGTTTAGGATTAAGGGTAAGGTCTAGGGCTGGTAGAATATGGAGGCCTCAATCATTAGAGTAGGCTTCCTTGAAAGGGTGCTATGAGGGTTGAGGGAGGGGTTCTATAATGCATCTACGGTGGGCGGGTTCTTCAATTAGAGTAGGCTGTTGGGGCTTCATGATAGTTAGTATAGCTTGACTGAGGAACTCGAAGCCAGTCTTGCAGACTTCTACACCAGCTTGGACAAGCTATGCAGATGTGTGTGTGTGTGTGCGTGTGTGAACATTTACCTGTACAGACATTATGTATTCGTAAGCAGATTAAACCAGTCTGCAGATAAATGTGCAGGCATAAACAGATAGATATGTGAAGCCACATAGGTAGATGAACTCTGACATGCAGTTATGCATACTCGCATGTTGTGACATTGCAGTATCATACGTTCTTGTTGCTGCTCTCGTGACTATGACTTTAAATAATTGGTGAGTAGCAGACTCGGTCCGCTGCTTCTCTGAGGAGCGTGGGCTGTCCTAAGGCAGCTTTTTTTCTGTTTATTTTTTTGGGGGGTCCTGTTGAGAACAATGCCAGCCAGTAAGAGACGTAGGTGACTTGGATCACTGTTTTAGAGTCTTAGAGACTCTCCCCAATCCTTCATGGCTTTTGTTCTTTGTTGGATGATTATTTCTTATTACTACTACTATCACTATTTGTATTTCTAGCACTATTAATTATTACAATTAGCACAACCCTAAACCTTAAACTTAAACATTGAACCCCGAAAGCATTGCGATTAGTATTAACTTTATGCTGGCCCGGAGGTCATTTTGGAGGCCGGCCGTGTACAGGCGAACATTCCTTTGCCCATCCACCACACCGAGATCAAGGCAAATCCAAGTCCGGGGTTTCGGGCTTGGGGTTTAGGGTTTAGGGCTTGGGGTTTAGGGTTTAAGGTCTAGTTCGGTTCTAGGGATTAGAGTTGGCGAAACGAATACTAACAACAATAAAAAGACAGTTAGTAAGGATACGAGTTTTAGTAAGATAGTAAGACACAGTTATTGCCTTAACTACCGGTATGGTTATGTTAACAACAAAAAGCAGTCATTACTGACACTGTCGTTATGATTATATTCACCCTGAGCTATTCAGAATCGGGCTCTCTTGTAAAGTTGCCACCGCTTTGGGAAGCTCCGACCGCCAATAGCACCGAAAATAGAAGCACGGAAGCACAGAACCCTTGAACCCTAAATCCTAAACCCCAAAGCCTGGACCCGGAAGCCCGGAAGCCACAAGGATATCCCAGAGTTCGTGGTCGAAACATCCTCGGAGCAGTTGGCGGACGTGAGCGTGAAGGTGAGCTCTGGGTAGCGATGGGTTTAGGCTTGTTTCGTCGTTGTTAAGAGCGCCTGACGGTGTGCTGCAACAGTCCGAGGTAGGCGGTTCAAGAGTCCCAGCATGATTCACGAAAAGAATCGCTGTAACCTCATGACGTCGCTTTGTTTCGACTGCTGGTCAAACTTTTTATGGTACGACGGCGAAGATTCCAAATATGTGGACTCACCTGATCCAGTAACATTGGAATCACGCGCAGAGCATGACTCAGACCACAACACATTGACAGTCTTCCCATCTCTGTTTTTTGTTATGATATACAGTATACAGCTACGACATGACTTCGACTAAAGATCTCCCGTCAAGCACTTTAGGAAACGCCTATTCCAACATACTCCGACCAATAAGACAGAACACCCGAAACGCAAGGACTCTGGTCGCGGTCCTTGAACAAAGGGGTTTCTTTCTTTAAGTTATAGCAGTCGTCCGTAATCAGGGGATGTTGGAGTCTTTACAACCGCCCTACCAAGTCAGGACAGCAACAATCAACCGTGCAGCACAAGTTGAGTTGTGTCTGCTGATGGCAACGTGTGAAAAACAAGCAAACCTTCTGCAAACAGTCACCAGCGCGACAGCAGTTTTCCCACTGCCGCGCTGCTACAGCTCTCCTCACCGCCGTCGCCATTACTAACAGGGAGATGAAAACCGGCAGCTTTTACATTCCTGGCGGAAGAACCTGCAACGACAATGCCCAAAGCCGAAGACACAGACAACAAAATACAAACCACAAAACACGAGCCATACAAACCGTAAACCCTGAACCCTAACCACTTCCTAAACCCAAAACCCTAAACCCTAAATCCTCCACCCGAAGCCTTGCTGCTCAGGTGTCCATGCGCTGGGAGCCGGACCAGTCGATGACGGACCACGACGAAGCCCTGCCCTTCGGCAAGCTCGCTTTGGCCGTGGTCTCCGTGGAGCCACCGGCTCCCATCAAGGAGGTGACCTGGGAGGTGCCGACTAAAATCGACCATATCGAGCTATATTATGCGTTAATATGCTTTAACATACCTGGAAAACCATAATATACTACTAGATATTATGAAGTACTATCATAGACGATAATATTTTATCATAAACGATCATTTGACAATATACACAATATACCACACCATGCTATAATATACCGTGATATGCCATAACACTGCATATACCATAATTTACTAGATACTAACTACTGTTGCATTGGAGGGGTCTTCCTGGGTTTGAGGGTGCTTGAGCTCGTGATCATGTGCCAGTTCGTGTGTGCTTGCCTTTCTGTCTCTCCATCCCTCTCAGTCGCAGCCGCTGTCTCTTTCTCCTCCTCTCTCGCGTTCACTCTCACTCCCACTAACTCTCTACTTCTCTAAATTTCTAACCCTCTATAACTCTCTGTAACTCTCTGTCACTCTCTATAACTCTTTAGAACGCTCTGTAACTCTCTCTAACTCTCTGTCACTCTCTATAACTCTGTATAACTCTAGAACTCTCTGTAACTCTCTCTAGCTCTCTATAGCTGTCTAGAGCTCTCTGTAACTCTCCCGAACTCTCTCTAACTCTCTCTCTAACTCTCTCTATACCTCTATCTCTCTCTCTCTCTCTCTCTCTCTCGCTCTTTCTCCCTCTCTCTCTCTCGCTCCCCCTCCCTCCCCCTCCCCTCCCTCATACCAAACATTGGAACCACCCCGGGTCCAAATATGGGCAGGGCTTAGAACTCACCGAACCCTCAAATCCAAGAATGTATGAGCTCACACAAGGCCCACCCAAAGAATCCAAACTCCTACCCTCCATACCTTCCAGCGCGGGCCATGAAACTTGCGTCTACTCAAGTTTTGTGAGTGCAATCAAGGTCCACGAAGGCATCCCAAAAGAGCCCGCGCACCTAAGCCCAGATGGCGCAGCCAGGTTCCTTGCGATTTCTTCCGTCCAGAGCGAAAGACAGTGAGTTGGACGACCCACTCGCAAGCCTTGTGCAAGTTTGCCGTCAGCTGGATGGGGAGGTACGTGGAGGACGTCTGTAGGGATAATCATACCGAAACCTGTAGCAGACTCATCTAGCTTAGGGCCGAGCATATGCAGGACAAGCAGGCAAAAAAGAAGGACGCTGATGACGACGAGCACGGGACCTTGGAGCATCTGTGCTGATCTTGGAAGCTTCTTGAAAAAACCCGGCAACAGCACACGCAGTCAGGAAGCCGTAGTGCATCATTGCTCTTCTTCCTCTTGTAATCCCACACTTTCCCCCTTGAACCCCACACTTTCCCCCTTGAACCTGCAAATACCTGAAGTCAGTTTCGCTCGCGGTCGCTCTTGCTGTTGTTGTTTTGGCAAACTTTTGAACATTTCAATCAACTCGCCTAAAGGTTGTGGTGTTAGCTGTGGTCATTACCTGCTGTCTGCGTGTGTATTCTTGTGTAGTCACTGCTCGCCTGTCACTGTTCTCGTTGGATTGAGTTTAGGTGTGTGGTTATGATTGCTGCTTACTGTTGTTGCCCTGGCTTACTTAGTCCCCTAGACCCTAAACCCTAAACCCTTTTAAGGAACCCTATAGATCCCTTTCAGGAACCCTTTAAAGGAACCCTAAACTTGCAGTACAGTGGGACTCCTGACGTGTCGCCTCGTCCAGGTATGGAGAGTTCCAGGCGAAGGTCCTGTTCCTTCTCAACCAGCAGAGCATCACGCTACAGTGCCAGCGGAAGAAGCTGAGCTTTGCGATTCATGTTTTGGGTGTTGCTGTCTTCTTTCATGTGCAGCTGAAAGAAATGGCCTCACGGGGCAGTTTTGTTCCGTTAACTCTATTGCGAGTTATGCCTTCTGCATTCTTCTGGATGCCGCTGGGTTGCTTTTGCTGCATGCTACCAGACTGATCTGTGAAACTTGGTGAACAGTCTCAAGCATGTAAACTGATAAGACTGACCTGAAGTACGGCGAAGGCACTGTCGGTCCCCTCTTTGATGCTGACCGAAGTCCTAAGCATTCTTTGCGGTATACCCCTAAAATTCCATTCCCCACAGATCGAACCCCTGCGCCTCACGCCTGTGACTAACCCTTTTCAGGAAGCTCGAGAAGCAGCGCAAACACCTGGAGGGGCTTGATGTGAACTCGGGAAGCGCATGAGTTTGCCAGAGACACCAATATCTCTTAAGTCAGGACATGAAGTTTTGGAGACGTCTTCAATCTCTGCTAGCAAAGTTCCTGAATTAGGGGATATGGGAGTCTTCTGTTTCCTCAGTCTCACCTCTTTGACACCTCGTCACCACATAGCGCCAGGGAGGAGGATTCCCAGCATTCGTTGGCATCGGAAAGACAGAACAGGTAGTCTCATCTGCTGCTCAGAGCCTGTCCGCTCCACATCTCTATGTCCTCCTCTACTGCGGAGCCAGGTGGCGTTTCTTGAAATTGGGGGGGTATGTTATGCACAGAGATCTTGCTAATTTAGAGGTATCTAGTACGGTCCCTCAAGTTTCTGAGAAACTCCCATGGGCCCACCAAGACCGCATTCTGCGTTGTTGTCGCGTGCCCGTGCGACCCACCCCAAGGGTGCGGTTGTACTCTGGGCCAAGCATTCGGGGGCTGAACCAACCGGACGCAAGCTTCCCTTGAGGGCTTTCGGGTGTAGATTCAAGGCTGAATAAGAAGGGTTTAGGGTTTAGGGTAAGAATGGGGCTTTAGGAACTTTAGGGTTTTGGCATCACTGTGGGAACCTTAACAGTGGAAGCAGGGCTCAGAGATATATTTTCCACCGCCGTCAGCAGCACCAGGATCGGTGTCATCATCATCACCATCATCATCACCATCACCATCACCATCACCATCACCATCACCATCCTCGTGTCAATGTAAGAAGGGCTTGGAACTTCCTGGTAGTGCCGCGCATAGATAGTTGGAGAATGGCATGCCAATCAAATTTTGCTTTCAATCAAACCCTGCCGGCCACAGTATGTTGCTGCAATCTGAATGTCCTCTGACCCCTGTTGTGTCTAAGCCTAAACTAAGCCAAGCACCACAGACCTTGAGCCCTGAACCCAACCCGAGACTTGCTACACCTGCGGCCCAAACCGCAAACCCTAGAAAGCAAAACCCCTGAGCGCTCTGAGCCTAAAAGCCTAAACCCTAAAGCTCAACACCTACACCCTGAAGTCCGGGGAAAACCGTCAAGCGCCAGATTTTGTTTGGGGCTTTAGGGTTCTAGGTATGGGGACTACAAGGGTTCAGGCTTTAGGGTTGAGGGAAGCCCGCAGCGCTGAGCCGAGATGCCGCTTCACAAACCTGGATTGGGTGGTGAATGGAAGTGAACTCGAGGCCCGCCAGGGCCTACAGCCTGAACCCTAAACCAGGGCTTTCGGCGAGGCGGGGGTTGGGAGGTTTGGGGATTCGGGTTTCGGGTTGGGGATGCTCGAGGTGCCTAAGGTCTATCTTACCGCCATGTATCAGGGAGAGGTGGCCATCCGGACCCCTGAGGCCTAAATCCTACATCCTTGTGATGGTGATTCGGCTCTGTCGATGTCGACCATCTTGATCGTGGATGGGTTGTTGGTGAAGCCGGGGGTGGAGACGTGAAGCAGATGCTTGATGTTGAGTGCTGATGCTCATTGCAGCATGTTCACGCCTATGTCTTCGTTGAAGGCTTTCAGCAGCATTGCTCCTGCCAAGTGTGGTCGTTGTGTTTGGTAGAAGCATAGGTCAGCGTTTCAGTAGGAGTGGTGCTAGTAGAGGAGTACTAGTAGTGTTTTTTCGTACACCGTTTTTCGGAATTCACCGTGGCTGACCCTATCGACCCGAAACGCGAGGAATACTCTCACAGCAGGTATGCTATGGTATGCAGCAGATGTCACCGCGACCCGCCTATGTTCTTTTGGGTGTACTTCTCTGATGAACGATGCCGTGTTCACTTTCAACCAATAGTTGTAAGTTGCAAGTAGCCTCGTGTTTTTGTGAATCTGGCAACTGGGAGCATTTCCCGCGGCATCTGTCGCCCCCGGCGTGCTCCCAGTGACACGTACACCCTCATCCGAGAACTCTTGAACCCCCTGAAACCCGAAACCCTAGACTGAAAACCTGGAAAAGAGCGAAGCCTTCAAACACCCTAACGCCTTCAAAAACCCTAAACTCTAAACCCTAAACCCTAGATTCCCCCTTGAACCCTAGACTAAACCCTAGACTGCAAACCTGGCGAAGAGCGAAGCCTTCACGAAGCTTCGTCCAGACCCTGATTCTACTCGCCCCGGGCCCGACACAGCGGACCCTTAAAGGGAGCCCTTTCCTATCAGGATCCCCTTGAAAGGTTCATTACTCTAAGGCGCTCGGGGTTCCTTTTAAGGGCTACTACAAGGGCTCCTTTTTGGATTCCTTTAAAGCAGCCCAAACCCTAAACCGAACCCCAAATCCCCTGAATCCCCTAAATCCCCCAAAACCCCTAAACCC